GACCGGGCCTGGGATTCCCGTGGGGAAGGGGAAAGGGCAAAGAGAGGGGGGGTGTTCTCCTGTCCCCATGGCAGCCAGTCCCAGGACCCCTCCGTGAGGGGGGGACTCCCCCTATGCTTCCCTTTTCCCCGTAGGATCGGCCCTGGGATTCCCAAGGGGAAGGGAAAGGAAAAGCGAAAGGGAGGGCTGTGTTCTCCTGTTCCCATGACAGGCAGTCCCAGGGACCCCCGCATGGGACAGGGACTCTCCCTTTCCCCCTCCATTCCCATAGGACGGGCTCTGGGATTCCCGAGGGGAAGGGGAAGAAGAGGGGGTTGTTCCCCTGACCCTGCCCCAAAACCCCCCTTTGGGGTTGGGGCTCCCCCTCTGCTCCCCCTGTTCCCATTGGATCAGCCCTAGAATCCCCCCAGGGGGAGGGGGCTCCCATATTCCCATAGGATCAGCCCCGGGACCCCCATTCGGGGGTTCCCCCATCCCAGCAGTGACCCCGTGACACCCCCATTCCCTGTCCCCTCCCGTTTCCATGGCAACCAGACCCTCCAAGGGGTTCCTGCTCCATCCCCCCAATCCTGGCCACGTCCAGGGGCAACTTGTTCCCTTGGGAAGCACCTCGGGGGCTCCCCAGGGGAGGCAAAGACCCCCCCAAATTCCCCCAGGGTGGGCAGTGACACCTTGGAGGGCTTGGACTGAATTCACCGGGTCTTGGAAGCACCAGAATTCCGGAGTGATTCCCTGTTTTCCGTGGAGGAACTGCTGTTCCTTCCCAATTCCAACAAAACCTCGTGTGGAAAAGCCGCAGCGTTTCCCTGACTGGGGGTGTTTCGGGGGTGCTGTGTCCCCCCAGAGCGGCTTCCCGCGGGGTAACGGAGCCGGGAGAGCCCCGTGGGGTTCCGGGAGTGGCAGGTGGAGGGCGCTCCAGCCTCATTCCCGCCGCCTTTGCCGCCCTCCAGGCCCGGGTGGAGCGGATGGAGCAGTTCCAGAAGGAGAAGGAGGAGCTGGATAAAGGCTGCCGGGAGTGCAAACGCAAACTCGCCGAGTGCCAGAAGAAGATGAAGGAGCTGGAGGTGGGGGAGCCGGGCAGCGGGAAGGGGGAGCTGGAGAAGCTCCAGGCCGAGGCCCAGCAGCTGAAGAACGAGGAGAAGAGCTGGGAGAACAAGCTGGAGGAGCTGAGGAAGAAGGAGAAGAACATGCCCTGGAACGTCGACACCCTCAGCAAGGACGGGTTCAGCAAGGTGGGTCTGGGGAGCCCCCCGAGGGTCCCCCCGAGCCTGGGGGGTCCCCCCAAAGCACTCCCGGGTTCTTTCTGCTTCCCAGAGTGTGTTTAATGTGAAACCCGAGGAGAAGGAGGAGACAGAGGAGCAGAAGGAGAAGAAACACAAAAGCTTTGTGGAGCGATACGAGAAGCAGATTAAACACTTTGGTGAGTGCCTGGGGGGGACCTGGGGGGCTGGGACCCCCTTTTTGGGGTGCTCCAAGCCTGGAAACACCCTCCCTGTGCCGGGAACCCACGGGAAATCCACTCACTCTGCTGAAAAATCACCGATTTTAGGTGTTTCTCCCAATCTTTCCCTGCCGGGGCAAAGCTCAGTTTAAGGGGAGGGGGTTCATTAAACCTCAAGATGAGTCACCCCTCTCATTCCTCCTGCTTTCCTGACAAAGTTTAGGGTCTGTTCCTTGATTAGCACGTGGCAAAGGCTCCCATTTCCCTGTTTGCCTGTTTGCCAGGGATGCTGAGGCGTTGGGATGACAGCCAGAAATACCTCTCAGACAACCCTCACCTCGTGTGCGAGGAGACAGCCAACTACCTGGTCATCTGGTGCATCGACCTGGAGGTGGAGGAGGTGAGAAACTGGGCTGGCACTGGGCTGAGAGCCCCTTTTCCAGGCTGGAGGTGCCTTGTCCTCACCTCACAGGGCCTTTTGGTTGGGTTTTCCTGCCAAAAACGAGGGAATGGGGGAATTACAGGTGGGGAAAGGTCCTTGAAATCGTTCCTTGAGGGTGAAGGGGGATTCCCACCCCGTCCTTGGAAAGGGGGATTCACCCTCAGCCCCCCCTCCTGGGGTTTCCTGGCACGAGGAGCCCAGAGCTGGGTGCAAAGCCACGGAATTTGGGAAGAATTTGGGTTCAGAAAGAGCTTCAGGATCATTAAATCCCCCCAAGTCTTGTCCCCGACGTGGGGAACGGGGAATTTTGGGGATTCTCACCCCTTTCTCCCTCAGAAACACGCGCTGATGGAGCAGGTGGCCCACCAGACCATCGTCATGCAGTTCATCCTGGAGCTGGCCAAGAGCCTCAAGGTCGATCCCAGGGCTTGTTTCCGGCAGTTTTTCACCAAAA